ATGGTCTTGGTCAAACCAAGTCATGCTATCATGAAGGCATCATAACAATGCTAGTTCAAGCTACCCATAGGAGAGTATAAATCCTCAATCCTAGGCTACCATGACTACTCTTAACTCATGCTACCATGAAATGCATTTTACAATGCCAAGTCAAGCTATACCTTTGGAGACTATAGATCCTCCATCCTAAGCTATCAATATTGGTCTTATACTACTAAGCCAAGCTATACATGAAGGGAACATATGTCACAACCTCAAGCTATTCTATACTAACAAGATTTGATTCATTTTAGGTTACTAAGCCAACCTAGAATCCTTCTGTGTGAGAGAACATTTGATCTCCTAGCATATTCATGCCTATGTGTGTGTGAGAGAGAACAATACACAACAAGATCACATCATATTGACTTTACCCCCAAAGCCCTAACATTGATAACTACAAGCCTTATTCTCAAATATAACTTCATTCTATCATCATTCATGTCTAGATTACAAGACATTCAATCACACTCTTTACTGCTAGGTGATTCTAGTCATGATTCATCATGGAGGCACAATTTCATATTTACAAGTCAAGATCCTTCATATTCAATAAAGTCTATCAATTCATGATTATATGATCCTAACTTTGATCAATTACTACACATGACGTTGATTTAAGAAGATCGTCTTTGAACCTTCAATTTCACCTCTAATGGCATAAACCCACAAATATATATTCATCAATTTAGACTAGGTTTTACCATATAAATCACATGAATTCATCATAATATCACTAAAAAAAGGCTAAATCAATCATAATTGGGTATTATCCACTAGATTGGAATCATACCCAAACTCTACCCACAATGTAAGAAGAATCCTAGCTAGAATTGGGTTTTTGACTTCACAATTGAGGGAAAACTTAGGGGGCTCTATGGGTGGAAGGACCCATAGATGATTAAGCTAACATATGTCAAGTCAATTCCCTAATCAAGCTTGAATCAACGGAGGAAAATTTTCCCTCTTCTTCTTCTTAGATGAAATTCTTTTGGAGAGAATTTGGGTTCTTAGATGAATGAGCTAATGACTTAGTTTTAGGTGGATGGGTCTACCGCCCGTACTGGAAAGTCGTAGGTGGGTACTGGGGGCTAAACTTTGCAGGCCTTTCCAGGCCTTGACCCACGACCCCCACCTACGGGGCGTGGGTCCACCTACTGGCCGTAGGTGGACAAATGTAGGTGCTGCCATTTTTGCAGATTTGGGGCTGTTTTGAGGGTCCTCCCCAAGGACCCCTTGAATGGTCCTTGGGGGGTCGTACCTTGACGCCCTAACCCTTAAACCCCTATTCTAAGTACGGAAATCCTTTTTACAACTTTTAATCCTCATACCACACTCCAAAACTCTTACGAAAGGCTCTAGAACTCTCTAGTTCAACTTACTAATTTCCGGGGTGTTACAAAAGACCTATGAGGGCACATAGTTATGAGACAAGGAGATTTCTACTAGATACCCCACCTCAACTCACATATGGGCATCAATCTCAAGAGATTGCTACTACAAACCCCGCCTCAACTTACGTGAGGGCTTCCATCTCATATCAATATCCACTCGGTGCTAAGCATTATTCCCCACAGAGTACTTATCATTTCATTACTTGAGTTCATTATTATGGAAGAATGTATCAACACTCAATCCAACATCATTCATAAGATAGCTCCTAGATTCAATTGGTGAGAATAGCCTTTCAACCTAAGAATCCCCATATTGTGAGAAAACCTGTCACAACATGTCTTCATCATTCATAAGTATAGCCTTTCAATCAACACATCATCATTATCATAATCATGGAAACTTCATTCATAAGTGTGTGTGTGAGAATAGCCTTTCAACAACACCACAATTACTTCATAGTCATAATCACTTTATTCTCAAATTATTCATAAAACATGTGCATAAATATCATGATCATACATAATTCTCATAATTTTCCCTTCAAGGACCATGGATTATAGTTCATCAACACATCTAGAATTACTACATTAGACATGGATAATAACATGATTCAAGTAATCAATTTATAATATTCATAATTCTATAACATTCTACTTGCATCAATCAATACCCACACTTTAATATCCAATTTGAGAAAATAGGGTAATTAATGGATTCTTGAGGAATTTAACTTAAATCATATAAAAGCATCAATATGTTCATAAACAAACATAATTCAATCATAAAAAAATGAATTTGAAAAGAATCCATGAGATTGAAGTCAAACCCTAACTTTGGGTTTTCTAGCTTTAAAATTAGGGGTTTTGAAGGGGCTCTATGGGTGAAGGCTACCCATATATGAAGAGCTACCGTACCTTATTGAAGATTTACCACAAATTTGAGGATAAAAGCTTGATTCTTCAACCCTAGCTTCACCTTTCTTCTTCTTCTTCCTTGTATAATTCTAGGGAGAGTTTATTTAGGGAAAATTGGTTATGGATTTGGGTTTTGGGATTATATGAAGTGAATGGGTTGGTTAATGACTTAAAAAGACTTATATAGGTATATTAAAACAATACAAAATGACCTCACATCATAATAACTAAAATAGAAATCACCTAAACTACCCCTAGACTTAACCGATTTTAACCATCTTACAGGCCCCATCCATGACCCCCACTTACGGGGCGTGGACTGACCCATGGCCTGTACTGGTAGGGCGTGGGTTGGGGTTCTGCTGCCCCTCATCTTGGCCTTTGACCCATGAACCTCCTCCCACAGAGCATGGACCAACCTACGGGGCGTAGGTCCGTCCGTGGGTCACTGTTTTGGGCAGTCTTGAAGTTTGTTCTAGGGTCCTCCTCAAGGACCCTTGGTTGGTCCTTGGGAGTCGTACCTTGACGTTTAACCCCTAAACCCTTCATTCAAAGTACGAGAAGCAAATTTTACGACTCCAACCCTTACGACAAGCTCTAGTTAAGCCTACTAGTTTTCGGGGTGTTACATCCACTCATGTGATCAACTTTATAATTAAATCCCCTGTTAATTACTAGATTTCCCTAGACCTCACCTGTCTCAAATTTCATCCAAGTCTGACCTAGGCTAGAAATTTTCAAGTCACTACTCAAAAATTTTCTAGCCCAAATTCTTTTTCCATTGGCTTTTCCATAACGACGGGTACAGGTCGTTACAGATGAATATCTTTGATCTTTGTTTTTTTATGCAAGACTCTCATTTATCTTGAATTCTAGGAAGCTTCACAGGTGCTTGAATTGATCTTCTCTAAATCATGTTATGCATGTAAGTTGTTAGCTTGGAAAGTTTCTTGTTCATGTACACTTTGTCAAGCCTTCTATTGTTTTAGTCAAGCTTGCTAGTTGATCTTCTATAGTAGAAGTCATTTTGATATTGTTTGATGATTGAAAAGTTGAGATGAGAGGTAGAGAATGTCCCACTGGGCATGTCAATTTAATTTGTGCAACAAATTTCAAAGAAACGCAAAATAATTTGCAATCACAAAAAAAATATGAAAAAAATATAATCTTATTTATAAACATTGTGGGTACAAATACGTTTCCCCTTTACTATTATCTCCTAAGTTTCCTCCGTGATTCATGGGTTATTCTTGAACATACAAGGTCATAACTTGATCTCTCTATGAATATCCCATTAATTAGGGAATGTTGAGAATTTAGTTGAGAAAGACAATATTTTATCTCTTCATGATCTCCTTGTGAATATCCAAAAGTTGTGGAATATTCTAGATGACTCTTTTGAAGAATATAATACCCTCTATATATTCATAAGCTCGAGTTAGAGTAGAGTAGCCTCCAAGAATCCTAACTTAGGTTGTAGAGTCCCAATTGATATTGAACATGTCTTGTAGAGTGCCATAAAATTTTGATGTCTATAAATGCCCTGTACTTCAAGGCTTGTCGGAGTATAGAGTTGATGAAACTCAAAGACGAGACTTTGGGATTTTGTGCCTTCAAATTTGCGGATTTGATTTTTTAGAGAAGAGATGAAGGGTACATTTAGTCCCACTAGGCGTGACAATTTGTTTGCCACAAATTTTAAAATAAATAAGAAGAATAATGTTATTTAGATTTTAAAATAAATAAGAAGAATAATGTTATTTAGTATTTATCAAGATTGTGAGTACAAATTTATTGATAATTTGATTCTTCTCTTTGAATTTTCTCTGTGATTTGAGGGTATTTAATGGCATATTTCTCGAACTAGGATGATATAGGCCTCCTTGAAATTTATTTGAATCTCGATTTATCTTTGTCAATATTCCATGAATTTGTGAAATATTCAAAATCTATTTGAGAAAGACAATATTCGATGTCTTTGTGATCCTATTTTTGAATACGCAAGAGTTATGATATATTCAAGATCTTGATCTTTATGAATACCCAAGAGTTTATGGGATAATCGAGATTTCTTTGAGAAACCTGATATTTGTTGTCTTCATGATCTCTTTGTGAATACCCAATAGTTATGAGATTTTTGAGATGCCTTTCAAGAATATACCCTTTATATTGGCATGAGATGGGGTTTAGGGTAGAATAACCTTGAATAATCCTTAGCATAATCGAACACCTCAGGTAGATTCCCAAAAAAAATCACTGTCTACATAAACTATAGGTCTTTAGGTCTTCTACTACACTTTTCAATAATTAGAAACACAACAAAGAGATGGGTTGTTACTTTTATAGAAATATCCAAAAGTTCTTTTCAATTGCTCTTGGGTTGATATTAAAAAATCTAGGGATTTGGATGATAATCTAGTATCAATCCTTGATAATGTTCATTAATTTGACTATAGGATGACAAAGAACTCAGCTTGGCTGTTTAAGAATGAGTCTAGGCCGAAATATCTCTCCAAAACTCAAACAAAATGATAAAGGGTTTAAAATTTCCGAAATTCAATATTTATAGAATTGTTGTTACTTACCGACGAAAAAACAAAAAAAAATATTGCTGAAACTATATTGCTAATTGAGCAAGTAATATTTATAAGTCTAAAATATTTGTACTTGTGTGCCATGTTGGCGTCCACTAGGAATTGAACTTATGCTTTCCGTGTAAACTATTACTCTCAAACTAGTGCGATAGCCTTGTAACCCTAATTCCTTCCATTCATCCGAATTAACATCATAGTAAATAAGTTGCCCAGTTTTGCTCTCAACTAGCAAAAACTGATCCTTCCAAAAACCTAATGGGGATTCAACATTAAGAGATCTTATTGTGTATTTTTTAATCCAAGATTCGCTTACACTGTACTCCTTCATTATCCAAATATGAAGAAAATCTTGTGTTGGGTCAATTGCACATCCTGAATCGTTGTAACAAATTGACGCAAGACATTGGTTTAAGACTAAAAGGCCATAACGTGACTGCTTAATAGAATGACAAGCATCTGGCATATCCATATTACGAAAAATCTCTGTTCCAATGTCAAAACAAAGAATCACCACTTTTTCTGTACTTGCAAACCAGTGAACCCCTTCCTTGTAAATCATCTCAGAACAAGGTAAATAGTATATGCTAGGCACCTCTACAGGTTCGAGCTCTCTCCAAGAATCAGTACTCAATTCATAAACATCAACTTTGCTATTTCTACCCTCAGCATAACCATAAGGAGGATCCCAGAAAACATCTGAAAGCCTTACGACCTTGTAGTCATTCAGAATTGAGACGAACCCAAACCCAACACCTTCAATGGTACGATGGTAACCCTTGGGACAACCAAAAGGACAAGGTGGCACTTGTCGGTAATGTCTCGTAGCTGGATTAATCAAGACAGTGACAACTGAATCCGTTAGAGCAATCAAGCCATGGCAAGGACCTATGAGATGGTGAAATAAACTACCATAATCATTTGTTAGATGTGGCACATTTAGATCTGGATGAAGAGGAATAAAACCATCATCACCAATATGAGAAATAAAAGACAAGACATTTTTAAATTGTTCTGATTCTTCTTTGGTGGAGCGCTTGAAGAGAATTAATTCATCTTTTGTGATTGTGGCGTGGTTTAGATGGAGATTCGCGAATGTGGTGGATCCTATGAGAACATATAAAGTTTTTGAGATACTCTTGAATCGCATGAGTGATTTTACTGGAAGCCTTATGAATATATAGATCCCAACGTCTTCAGACAATTTCATTGAAATTCCACACGCCATTTTTATTCTAGGGAATGACAAAGGAGCTTATTTGATCTGAATTGGATCAAGAAACCTACTCTTTGCATGGTCAGCTCCCTAACAAACTACTCGTTACACGTGCATTCTTTGTGGTTATAAGTAGGGGTCTTGAAATATATTAAAACGAGTTTAGAAATTGATATTGAATTGGGTCTTGATCCGCCCAAATTTATTTCGGGCTCAAAAGAACTTAAAAATGGGTTGTGCCTTGACACGCTCAATTTGACCCGATTAATCTCAATAATTTTATTATATTGTTATTTAAATTTTCTAATCACAATTTGAATTTTAACTCAAGATTTTTTTTAAAAAAAAGTTACAAATGAATCGATAAATAATAAAAGAAATAAAATAGATAGTAACTAATATTTTCAATATATTAACATACTAATATTCGTGTCCGCGCGTTGCGCGAATTAAGTATCATAATTTCAAATTAATTGTGATATAACTTTGCACGATTTAAAATAAATAACTTCTTTAATTGGATGGAAATAATGACAATGATTAATTTTAAAAATATAATAGTTATAATTAATTAAAATATTGTTGTTGTTGTCGTGGTCGCCAAAATGATTATATCACGATAATTTCAAATAATTCTTCAATAAAATTTAATGTTTTAAATTTTAGTTACGATTTTAAGATGGAAGTTCCATTTTATTTTTATTATTCGACATATGATTTGTAAAACTTATATTTGTTGATTATGTTTTTTTTTTAAAAGTTGCCAACGTGGGACAAATTCTATATTTTTATTGTGAAGTTTCATATCCTTTAAAATTAGTTTTTTTTATTTGTACGTAATCTAATTTTGTTTAATTTATTAATTTTTCTTAATCAAATTTTAAAGTTTGTGTTTGTGTTGAAATGTAATGGGAGATTTTAATTTTAAAATAGATCATTCAAATATTTAATTCTACCCCATCTCCCCCTTGGGAGAAAGCCTCAACGGATTTCTTAAGCACCGCCTCTTTCAATTCTACCAAAATTGGATCAAGACCTTGTTTGGCTTTTACATCTGCCACAAAAGACTATTCGGAACCATTGTGAACCGTAAAACCACCATTGGTGGAGTCCACTAGTTGACACCTAATCGAACCAATCTATGAACACGTCGAACCAACTCTTTCTTTTCTTCTTCAATGTGAGCAACACTACCCATAGTTAATCGACTAAGAGCATCTGCTACTACATTAGCTTTACAGGGGGTGATAAAGTACACTCATGTAATAATATTTCAATAACTCGAGCCACCTTCTTTGGCGAAATTCAAATCTTTTTGATTAAACACATATTGCAAACTCTTGTGATACGTAAACACATCTACATGTACTCCATACAAATAGTGTCTCCAAATCATTAAGGAAAAAACGACCGCCGCTAACTCAAAGTCGTGAGTAAGATAATTCTTCTCATGGATTTTAAGTTGCCTTGAGGCATAGACAATAACTTTCCCATTTTGCATTAGCACACACCCTAGCCCAATTCACGAGGCATCACAATAAACCACAAAACCATCCGTCCCTTCCGGTAAGGTCAACATCGGAGCGGAGGTAAGTCTATCTTTCAACTCTTGAAAACTTTTCTCCCAAACTTCGGACCATAAGAACTTAGCATTCTTTTGAGTCAAAGCCGTCAAAGGAGAGGCAATTGAAGAGAATCGTTCAATAAACCTTCTATAGTAACCGGCCAAACCCAAAAAGCTTCTAATATCAGAGAGAGTTAAAGGTCTAGGCCAACTCTTGACCGCATCCATCTTCTTAGGATCTACCTCAATACCCTTAGTCGAAACAATATGACCAAGGAAAGCTACGACCTTAACCAAAATTCACATTTGTTAAACTTTGAAAAAAGTTGTTGGTCCTTTAGAATTTTTAACACGGTCCTCAAATGATCAATATGCTCATCCTCATTTCTTGATTAGATCAAAATATCATCAATGAACACAATCACAAACATGTCAAGGTATTGTCTAAACACCCTATTCATCAAATCCATAAACGCCACCAAAGCATTAATCAACCTAAACGACATTACCAAAAACTCATAATGACCATATTGCGTTCGAAAAACCATCTTCGGAGTGTCATCATATTTAACCCTTAATTGGCGATAACCCGATCATAGATCAATCTTAGAGAAATAACTTGCTCTTTGAAGTCGGTTAAATAAATCATCTATCCCTGGGAGAGGATACTTGTTCTTAATGGTCACTTTGTTCAACTGTCTATAATCAATGCACATATGAAGAGCTATCCTTCTTTCTAACAAACAGAACTGGAGCACCCTATGGAGAGATACTCGGTTGGATGAAACCCTTATCCAACAAATCCTTCTACTGTTCTTTCAACACCTTAAAATTTGTCGGAGCCATACGATAAGGAGGAATAGAAATAGGTTGCATATTTGGGAGAAGGTCAATACAAAAGTCTATTTCCCGCTCTGAACGAATACCTAGTAATTCATCTGGAAACACTTTCGAAAACTCATTTACAACGGGGACCGACTCAAGAGAAGGGGTTTCGAAACCTGCATCCCTCACCCTTACTAGATGGTAAAAGAAACCCTTAGAAATCATCTTTCTAGCTTTAAGATAAGAAACAAACTGACCCTTAAGCATAGAATTCCCCCATTCCACTCTAGGATAGGCTCATTCCAGAACTGAAACTTGACTACACGAGTTCTACAATCAATAGAAGCATAACCTGAGTACAACCAATCCATACCCAAGATAACATCAAAGTCTAGCATATCAAGCTCTACCAAGTCAACAAGAGTAACTCTACGGGACAAGGAAACGAGACACTTTCTATAGACCCTATTAGCCACAATAGAATCACCAACATGAGTAGAGACAGAAAAAAGGTTCTAATAAGACATCCGGAAGAACATCAAACCTCATAGCCACATAAGGCATAACAAAAGATAAGGTAGCACCTGGATCAAGTAAAGCATATACATCAAGTTGGAAACTTTCAGCATATCGGTAACCACACCTGGGGAACTCTCTTGTTCACCTCAGGTCTGAAGAGCATAGAAGCGGTTTTGCTTAGGAGCATTGGAACCTGCACTACTAGTAGGAGTTTGCTTGTCCTCTCTCCCCTTAGCCATAAGCATTGGACAATCCCTTATTTTGTGACCACTTTTACCACAACCATAACAACAATCTGTGTTGGCTAGGCACTTACCATCGTGCTTCCTTCAACACTTGATGCAAATTAGACCTAGGCAATGAAGATCCATTGCCATTACCTGCTTGTGGCTTAGGGTTAGACATCATATCTTGGTTGAACTTATGAGGAGCATTGGAGGAACCTTGACCGAAAAACCTTTGCCGGAATCTTGGACAACCTTGTCCATCTGACCTTGTGTTAGAGAAATCACCATCACCGACCTTAAACCTTTTTCTCTCCCTAAACTTTTCCTTGAGTTTCTCCTCCTCAATTTGTTGTGCATGTACCATGAGACGAGAGATGTCCATATCATAAATGACCATTGCATATTGACACTCTTTAACCACCGTTTCGGACACTCCCGAAACAAACTTACTCATCTTAGCTCTTGAATCCGCAACCATTGTTGGAGCATATTTGGATAATTTAGTGAACTTTAGAGCATATTCCCCCACACTTATACTCCCTTGTCGAAGGTTAATGAACTCTATCATCTTAGCTTCCCACATCTGAAGGGGAAATAACCGATCAAGAAAAGAGACCTTAAACTTCTCCCAATCAAGAGGACCCACATCTTCTGGTCTCACTTCCTTCCATTGGTTATACCATATTTGAGCCACACCTTACAATTGGTAAGTGGCCAACTTCGCCTTTTTCACCAGCGTAACTTCCATAATCATCAAAACCTTATAGACTTCATCAATAAATTCAATGGGATTTTCCTCAACTTTAGAACCGTGAAACTCCGAAGGATTCATCCTTGTGAAGTCCCTCACAATTAAAACCGCCGAATTAACATTTGAGCTTGCGGGAACCACAAACCTCCCTATTGGCTTGGGTCATCACGACTTGAGCCAACACTTGAAAAGTAGCCCTAAACTCCGCATTAGACACATGCTCGGCCAAAGAATCGACCAGAACTTGACGAGCTTGGGGAGGAGCTTCTTGTTCTGCATTATCCCTCACATTTCTTCTAGCATAAGCTCTTCGCATAGCCATATCCTGAAGAACATAAGATAAGGATTATGAGAGAGACCTTATAGAGTTAAACTCTATTGCATGACTTAAGAGTAATGAAAGAAGTGAAGTTTCCTTATCATCTTGTAGCCTCTCATTCATAAATGTGACACGTTTCACACTCATGAGCAAGACTCTACTAGACGTGGCTTATGAGACATCCTAGGACCATTCTTAACCTTGTGCTCTGATATCAAGTTTGTCACAACCCAGGGGTACTCCCATGATGTAACATCGCGTATAGAACCCCAAAGGACTCCATACTAGCCACTTAGCTCTCATAACATAAGAAATAGAACAATAAGAGTAAAACAATAGTCCAAGTCCAAAACAGTTTATAAAGCAAAGCGGAAGTCTGAACACATGTCTCATCATAGCCATCTAATACAATAAAATGAAATTGGATCTAGCCCATACATCACGTCCAAAAGAGAAAATACATGAAATAAAGTGAAATGATAAAACTCTGTCCTCGAAGCATAAGGACTCACTAAAGCTCGGGAATCAATCAAATCACCAACTAGCCATAAAACTAAGTACTCTGAATATCAGACCCTACACTTGGGAAAAATGTAGGCAAGAGTATGCGTTAGTACATAACAATGTAGAAAGTATGATAGCAGTGCATAAAACATTTAAATCATGCTAAAAGGGACATTTCATTTCAAGACATGCAATTGACCAAGCTAAAACATGATATAGAAGAGTTATGAAACATAAGTCATAAATCATGGTCAATGCAAGCTAACTGAAACGACCCCAAAAATGTCCGAAAATGTGCTTCGA